TTGTTCTCACGTTGGGAGGAAGTTGAAGAGATTCTATTCCTAGCTAGACTGAAAACAATGAGCTTGCAGCATTGAAGTATTGTTTAACACATTTTTCCACAGAACCTATTGAGTCTAAGAAAATGAAAGTGTTTCTGCAATACTTTTTTTAAATATAATTTGAAAATATGTTACACCAAGAAAAATTTGAACCGCAACAAAAACGCCCTAAGCCTCTCTTCCCCTATTGTCGGAACTTCAAAGGCTACAATAATCGCTTATCATAAAGATGTTCTTACTTCCTGATTTTCAGAGGCAGCATTTTCAGTATGTCACATTGTCATCTTGGACGAATAACACTTTTTTCAGAAATATAAAACTCGGTTACTTTAACAATGTAACTGTAAAAACACAACAAAAAATTTTCGACATGTCATTTCAAGCTGAATGTACAGAAATGATATTTGTCACAAGAATTCATGTCAACTTCCAATGCCGTCCGTCTCTGAAAACAAATTTATTTTTAAATGACATTTTAAGGCTCTTTTATAAGATGACGCTACTTCCACCTCCCCCCTGCGTTTCTCCGTTCGTGCAAAGAATAGAACAACTTTCTTAAAAACAAACCTGGTGGCTGCAGGGTGCAATCATACGCAACGATTCCGCGAAGATCATAGAAAGGGAGTTGTACATTACTGAAAACTGTTCCATTGGACGTATTCACTTTGTAAATTGTATCTCTATGATCACCACCAGCAAATAATAATGAGGAGATGAAAGAAACTCCCAACAAGTTAACACCGTGTTTCATATGAATCAGTAGCTTTCTGCTGTTCCCATTATAGTCACTAGATTCTATTCTGTTCCCACAATAGTCCGTCCAGAAAACGAGCTTGTGTTGCCTATCAAGAGTGATACCATATGGGCAACTGATACCCGTATTATTTACTTCGTGTATAACATCACGCTGTACTCCGTTTAAAGTTGATTTCTCGATTCTTTTTCCGGAACTAGTCCAAAACATCAATCTGCAGAGTAAATCATCACAGTTATTATCAATAACTAAATATTTTTTCCTCCCATACCCGAGAATTCATTTAAAGCGTAAAATTCAATTGCTCTTTTAAGGTTCCTGTGGGCAAAGACCAAGCTAAACACATTAGGATGGCGGGCGGTCATGGTCTATAGGCTGGAG